TTCCCATGTTGGCACCAAAAGCTATGGTAAAGAGCCTAAGACGCTGTGCAAGAACGTGGTCAATTTTTTGACGACTTTACCCGGCGGGTTCCTGACACAGTTGAATCCAAATCGAATGACTAAAGATTTACTTGATCTTGTCACGTCAATAGCACACTACTTGAAACTCTTAATACAGTTTGGTTTGGACACTGGTTTAGAACTGGATAAAAAGTCTCCGGAATCTCAAGCGGTGGACCATTTCCTAGACTATCTTTCGTCACACAATACACCACCTCTTCTCAGCCAGGATACACTTATTCCGAATATTACAGATCAATGTGTTGCTTGCAGGAAAGGAATCGAGGAAAAGTGCACAAGACTGATGAGCCAGGAGAAGGATGGCAAACGTGATCGTCGGTGGCACCTTGCTGGAGAATGCTTTGTGTGCTCCCGATGTTCTCGTCATTTGGCCGACGAGATTTCTGAGACCGTTTGGAGCGATTCTGAACGAGTCATTATATGCCAAATCTGTGCTAAGGAAGAAGAAGACAACAGGCATGGTTTTGTCTTTGTGTCGCGTTTGAACCAGTACTCTTTCTTACTCAACGTTGCGCTGGAAAGAGTTTATAAGGGTATTTATGACAACAATCAGGGTGAGGCGCTACATCGGGCGGCGTCGACAGATAAGTTCGAATCGGTTGCTGGTTACGTTAATACACTAAGCGATATTCGACGGCTACGATCAACAAGGTTCAAGAGAGCAATTTCAGATGCCAAAGGAAAGCAGACTCGAAGGTCAAAGCCCATGTCTACGGAAGCGCAGAAACCTCTGCAATTGTCCCCGCAAGAATTTTCGTTGCAGCGTCGTCGCAGCAGCAGCAAAAAATCTAATGGAAGTTCACCACATGCTCCACCTGCGAACAACTATCTTAAAGAGTTTGGGATCCCGCCCATAACATCGACTATCTCTCCATCGAATTTGAAAAAGGGCAATAGTTCACCCATTCCCGAAGATTTGTCGAACTCCTCACCGTCACCTGCTGTATCTTCTTCCTTACCAGCGAGCCAAAGATTTAGCCGCACAAGTACAGTAGCTCATACTGCCGATAAACCTGATATATTATTTGGTGAAAAATACCTCACGCTTGATGATATACCTCGAATTGTTGCAGCGGAACAGGCGCGAGAACAGCGACCAAACGCCTTCCGTCATCAACGGCAATCATCCCTTGTTATTGGAAGCGGACCTACACCAAAATTAATTAGCCAGCCGAATGGCGGTCATCAAATTGGCAATGCCAGCGACGGTACAGTTCGAGTGGATGGTAATTCTATGGGCGCACGAACTTCGATTGATCGGATGCGCTCAGTCGCGTCCTCGAAACATTCTGCTGCAGCTACTAATCGCGGTGCTCGAAAGTTCTTCTCCGAGTTGTTACCTGTCGAGTACTTCTTGGTGCGACAATATGCTGCGGATGCGTTGCAGCCGCTGCTGGCGGAGTTCTTTTCTGCTGAGGAGTTAGCGGAGATACTGTGCGAGCCAAGGACTGTGTCGCCAGGACCAAATGGTGCGGTGAAAATTAGCTTCTGGGAGAAATTTGGCAAGGCGTTCTCGAAGAATTCGAATAGCAGCAACAATACCAATGGCAGCAATGGCAATGGGTATCAAAAGAATGGCTCATCCACTCCAAACGGAAGCGGTTTACTGTCAACCAACACAAACAGTACTAGTGAAAAATCTGGCAGTAAGAGGAAAGGAGCTGCAACAAACGTTACAGCTGATGTATTCAAGGTGCCGTTAGAGGTTCTTGTTGACAGAAGTGGCACGGATTCGGAACTGGGTGTTAGCAAGGGAGCGCTGAAGGTGCCCGCTTTCCTAGACGACGTTATCTCAGCCATGAGGCGAAAAGGTATGGCCTTTAATATGTATGAGCGATATGCCAATCGTGCTAACAATTGGATCAGATATGTCCGTCGAAGGAGTCTTCCGTAAAAATGGTAATATTCGGAAGCTAAAGGCTCTCGCTGAACATATAGACAAGGCTGCAGGAAATTTGCAACCAGTTGACTTAGATTCAGAGTCACCGGTTCAGCTGGCGGCTTTGCTTAAGAAGTTCCTTCGCGAACTACCGGATCCTCTTCTTACATTTAAGCTTTATAAGGTTTGGGTTGCCTCGCAGCGGATAACAGACGATAGTACGCGGCTAAGGGTGTTACATCTTTGCTGCTGCTTGTTACCACGTGCACATAGGGATTCCTTGGAGATTATCTTCAACTTTTTGAAATGGGTTGCATCTTTTTCGCATGTAGACGAGGAATCGGGTTCGAAGATGGACATTCATAATCTGTCAACCGTCATTACTCCAAATATCCTTTATCCATGCACATCCAGCTTCGATGGAGAGTCGCCGACAGGCGCACCTGCAACATTGTCGGGTGATGAGGAATCTCCCCAAGTGCCAATTGGAGGACTCGCAGGCGATAGCTATTTCTTGGCCATTGAAGCAGTGAATAGTTTGATCGAGAATCACGAGGAGTTGAGCCTCGTACCACACGACATCGTCGACAGTGTGCTCAATTACGGGGAAGTGGTTCTTACTTGATCAAATGAGTCTAGGAAAGATAAAAGATCGTTATCAGCGTTGCTTGTCTGACTATGTATGATATGTCTTAGTACTATAATTGTATTAATTTGTGACTATTATCACGGAGGGGTATACTTTTGAATTGGTTGGGCTTTGTACGTTACTGTATAGTTCTTGTGATCATATTATATCTTCTTTTTTGTCGAAGGGTCCTTGTTGTTTCGTAATTGTTTTGTTGTTTCATATTAATATCTATGTATGATTTTCCAAGGTGTCAAGATTATCTTGTTTGGTTTGGTATGTATTTTAAATACTTGAATGTATTAGCCAGGAGATATGGGATTGTTCGATAGTCAGATATCGCATGTACTAAAGCCTTAAATTTTATGTACTATTGTTTCAGTATTTTGTGGTGCATGATTTTCTAAAATTCAAATACGCCGAGCTACCATTACAAGTAATCAACCTATAGTACAAATGTGACCTATATCCAAATAAAGCATCTTACAATACTGTGAATATCCCTCTTATTCTTAAATTTGGCATTAGTACTTCACAATGCCGCTATATTATACCATTTTACCATCAGTAGATGATAGATCTGGTCCCGGACCGCCTTCAATATTTATTTCAGCGTCTGTTTCTTCAGTCGCAACATTTGACGGATCTAAAATAGTTCCTCGGAATCGATCTTCTTGACTGACTTTGGATTGCCTCTTAATGAGACCTAAAGCATTCAGCAACCCGCAAATATTTCACCTAATATGACATGCTAACACTTACTGTCAACTAATTCTTCCCCTCCAGTAACTGTATTAAACTCTTTTGTCGTATTGTAGCACCATTCTATGAATCGTTGCAAGCCGTCATCCTCCGCCTCCTCGTCCATCTCAGGAAACTCATCTAATATCCGCATGGGCCGTAACCCGCCTGCGGCCTCCATAGCCATCCTGATATCACCCACACCCGGCTCTTCCCGTCCACATAACGCTGCATACGACGCGGCCCTGGTAGACAGCAGGGTCATGTACCGGATCGCAAGATCAGTCAAAGTGTCGAGTACCGACGGGGGACATCTATCGATTCCGGACGCGCGAAGAATCTGGGCCGTCGTGATGCGCAGGAAAGAGTAGAATAGTTCGGAGCTCATCTGGTCATGCGGTGTTTGCGGGGGCATGTAGATGCTTTATTGCTGAGGGTAGGAGCGTGGGGGATATTGCGTACCTGATCATGCGCGGCTTCGCGATGTGCCCGACAAAGGCCGTTGCAAGATATTTAATCAGGCAAACCGGCTAAAATTGCGTAGTATAATTACTACCCTCAGATCTGGTCAGCAGCCTAACTGCGCAGTGGAATGATCGCACCGATGGTTGGAGACTCCCCTCAGCTTTGGCTGGCATTGCATTTTACGAAGTCGACATGGTTTTGGCGGAGCTGTGGCTGTGTATCGACGACATATTGTGGCTTGGATTAATTTCTTCGCTCGAGGCTGCTCATCCCACCAGTCCTGTGGCTGTTGTTTCGTTCATAGGCTACCTTTATTGCGAATTGCATTGAAGCGTAAATATATTCATAAAAGTCAGGACGGTGTAACTGCTATTCATACCGAACGCGGTAGCTCATAATGTCCTCACAAGCTGTAATTCTGGACGAGGTAAGCATTGAATCCATACCAACGGATATCCAGGAGCGATCGAGAATATCTATTCGCAGTACTAGTGGGCACACGATACTAACGCTTTCATCTATAAACAGACTGTTACGTACTGTGGTCAAGAGCTCAAGGATCAGAACCAATGTTTCCGGAGATTCAAAGATCCACAGGCTATATCTCCAAATTGCCAAGTCTACATTAATCTGCTCATGAGATGCGTCAAGACCCGGTTTGTTGACTTCCAACTTTCACTTTTCATTTTGACGAAACGATAGTCTAATGAGCTCGTATTCTAGAGTTCCCTCGTATGTGTCTTTAAGAGAAGCATGCGGAACATCAATGGACGAACTCCAGGATTGCATACTAAAGGCGACAGACAGTCCCACCAAGACTTGCGCAGATATGCAAGCTAAGGTCTGGAGCTGCAGGGATAAATTTATGGACGGCTATATTGCGGAAAAGATTAAGCAGAAAAATGGAAATAAATAACTGGGTAGAACGAATATATTCAGGCGTTGAGACGTTTATTTGTATATAGGATTTGTCACTCATCTTGCATAAATGCTCGTATTGTGCTCGATATACTTTGTTAGGTATACAAGGCAGAAACATTTATATACTATCTACAAGTATCGTATCATTATAAAATGCCAATTTTTATTTGGCTGCCATATTGAATCCAACATATATAACCGGGCGTAAAGAAGTTGATAAATAATAATTTTATATGTTCGAACAAAAAAAAATTGAACCTACTAGGAAAATCCGCAAAAATATTTCACCCCACGGGGGTCTCGAACCCCCAACCTTGAGATAACTTCCGGAAAGAATCTTAAGAGTCTCACGCTCTGCCAATTGAGCTAGCAGGGTCTGATTTCTGAAATGAACTATACAGAAACATGCTGATAAGGAAAGATACAGGTTTAGGGCTTGTTCTCCGGACACTTGCAATGACAAGATTTCTTAAATGTCGACTCATTTGGTAATGTTTAATTTATTAGAAATAAAGAACACTTGTTTTGTCGTGTGTGATCAATGTTTACAATTTTATCTGTCTCTTTCGTGCCAACACAAAATGTTGTGTTTTTTCCAAATAACTTCCAACTGCTCATCAAACTACTATTCTTCCTACGTCGATACCTTTCCTGCCAGACAGCAGATGCTTTAACATGAGTTATGAGCTGAATCGTTCGCACCGGTTGCATTATTGATACCCTCTTTGCATTTTTGAGTTTTGTGTGTAGGTGCGGTGACATGTACGCTTGATATGTATCTGCTGGTCAATGTTATAAGAATTATGGCTTAACGAGTTCAATGTCAATAGCAAAGTAATATGCACTTTATTGGTTGTGTATGTATTATGTTACCGTATCTTGTCCGTCTATATTCGCCCCTGCCCCAACCTACCCTGGCTACGGCCGCAAGGCATATTAGAGACGTCTAGATTGGAGATCCCTAGGCATCCGTTGAAGCAGGCCGGGTCCATTGCACAATAATTATATCCGCTCCTTACCTTCGCTGATTCCACCTAGTCATTTTTAGTTTGGGACATCAAACTCTTCTATACTATAAGAGCATAGCATGTATGCCTGATGTCCTCTTTCCAGTCCATTTAGAATAATTAATCGCTTATCCCATTCGGCTCGAAAAGTCGATTGTACCTTTCTTAGTGATTGGCCAGGGTTAGGGAGGGCCGGTATTGAGTTGGTACTCTGATCCCTCGATGAGAGGCTGCGCACTATTATCAAGACAATACACTCGGTCTACGAGTCTAGAATATATCCAGATGGCGGACGATTCGCCCCCTGATATCTCACAATGTGCGACGTACGATGAATTGGTTGCCTCGATGAGCTACTTGCATGCCAAATCGGAGGCAGTGACGGCACAAATGACATCTCTATACGAATCGCAGACAGGTCCGCTCTCGTTCTCGTTGCAGCGGTTAGATATCCTCGGTGCGTCCCTGAGCACATCTCAACAGACTGCGCGCAGTCTAACGAAGATGATTTCTGATGCGTCATTCGTGGCATCGAGGATATCCCAGAAAGTGCGACAATTGGATAAAGAGCAATCGCGTGTACAGCAGTCGCTGGACTATGCACTCAAGACGCAGGAGTTGAAGTCCTGTATTATCGGTATCTACGACGCGACACAAGTGAGGGATTGGGAAGCGGTTGCTCAGCATATACATCGGGCTTCGAAGCTGCCTCCGCAGCTAGTAAAGGGACGATTTGCGGAGGTAATGGTGCCTACGGAAGAGAATCCGGAGAGTCCCGCAATCGCGCTACAGAATGAGACAGAATCATTTGGTGCACTGTTTTTAAAGGAGTTTGAAGCTGCCGCGAAGGCCAAAGATATGGAAAAGATCACTAGGTACTTCAAATTGTTCCCGTTAATAGGGAAGGAGAAGGAGGGATTAGATGTCTATGCCAAATTTGTTTGTACCATTATCGCTGGTCAGAGCAGGCAGCTTATGGGCAGCAAGAGTATGTATATGGATATGTATGTGTATCTTTTGAATTAAACTAACTATGTTTAGTTGAGGGTCCGCTTTTCTTTGGAATGGCTCTATCTCGGTTATTCGAGAATATTGCCACTATTGTCGACCAACACACTCCGATTGTTGAGAGATACTATGGTCGTGGTAAGATGCAGAGAGTTATAGAGCGTATTCAGCTGGAAGCAGATACTCAAGGCGGAATTATCGTGGACACTTATTTTGATGATCGTAATATCAACAGACGTCTATCAGATATCAAGAGCTATGCCTTCAGCTTTTTGGTTCAGAGCTTCATGCCGACCGGCATGGGAATGAATATGGGAATGAGGTCTATGAGTCCAGCAGTAGGCACCGATGCCGGTATCAACGTACAAGATATCGATACTCTTCTGAACGAATGCGCTGTTATGATTGGACGATGGAGTTTATATTGCAAGTTCTTGGCTATTAAATGGTGGGCGCAAGGGCCCAAGTCTGAAGATGAGAAACCGATTTTAGAGGACAAGTCTGCGATAGCGTTGAAAATTCCTCCAATACTTCCTGATAGCAAACTATACGTGAAGATGAATACAAGAGTAGCATCTGCATTTGAATCAATGGCAACCTTTTTCTTCAGACGGTCCGTCGAGAAAGCGTTTCAGCTAGATGAAGCACCAAATTTGAAACGTCTGCCGCCCGAACCTTCACCGTCTTCACCACTGATTACTTCTGCGATCGACGATGTTATGTATGTTTTGAATGCTGTTTTAGAGCGGACAGTTTCTACTGGTCATGCACATCTCATTAAAAATGTCATTGGCAATGTTCGACGAGTATTGGAATCCGATCTTGTTGGCATGATTCAGCGAAAGATGCGTGACGAGACGTATCCCAAAAGTGTTGGCACGTCGTCTGGCAATGGTCCTCCTCCTCCACCTCCTGATGATAAGGTCAATGGCTTCCTGGTTCATCTGAACGATTTGGACGTCGCCACGGAATATATAGAGCGTATTATTGGCACAGTTGTGGCTTCATGTGGAGATTGCGAGGTCGTTTCTGTGTTTCCATTTGGTGACGAGCATGCACAAGTTACGTCTGCGCTCAATGGCCTATCTAGCTCGTTTGATTCTCGAGTTAAGGAGTTACTACACGATGGTATACAAGTAATATTTGTACAAGTTGTGAAGCCCCGTCTGCGACCGCTACTGTCAGAGGCTTTCAAAGAAGCAACATATATGCCACATGGGTCCGGAAGTATCAACGATCCAGAGGAGTCACTATCACAACAGCAAGCTGACCTCGTGCGTCTGAGATTCGCCTATGGATGGGACGCACTAATGCATCCTATCCGAAAGATCCTGACAGAAAGAAATTACTCGCGCCTACTCTCTGTGACAAGCGAGTATGCTTCCACATTATTAGAAAGGCGGGTATGGGCAATGGCAGGTCGCGTGAACGAGCTCGGTGCTATCCAGCTCGAGCGAGACGTCGCGGGTATTATTTCTCATGTGTCGCAAGGAAAATGGTACTTCTTGAGGGAGAGGTTTGTCAGAGTCGCGCAGCTCGTAATGGTACTTGGATTGGACGAGCAGGAATTAGAAGCGGGTGGTATCGAATGGGTCTTAACCGACGAAGAACGCCGACGAGCTGCCACAATCCGTGTGGACGAGATGTAGTATAGTCGGTTGAGTCAGATAGATGTTATGTAATATAGGGATGCATGTGATCGGTGTGATGTTTATGGATCTCAACTTTGATATGAAAACAATTTTAGAGTACAGGAAGTTATAATGCACACTGCGTCTCTGGACGTAGAAAATTAGTCCACAACTCTTTGCGAGCGATCCTGCTGCGTCGCGTTAGAGTCTATTGGTCAAATGGACGAAAACGTGTATGTTCACGCATGCTGTTATTAGAATGCCATGCCAGTCTTTGTCTCATCCTATATCGAATGATATACGCATATAATATTATCATACAATGCTGTCTTGATGCTCAATGTGCAAACCCACAAAAAGATTGAGATTATCTTTTCGTTAGGCCTCCCTACACCAAGAGAAACATCGATTCGGCCTAGGGTTCAGGGTCCAAGAATTAAAGGGACAACTTTTAAGTTGCAAGTTGCGACTTCACCATCCGGATATTATTTTTTAACGTAAGACTGGACAGAAATATTAACGGTCAGACGAGAAATCTCGTAAGTTGAGACTTTGAAACTCATCGAATTAAAACAAATAGCAGCTACAAGGTAACCAGGAGGCGAGCCACATGTCTACGGCAATTTAATTTCGCAGAATTTTGGACTCTTCACGATTGATTGCTTCTTGCCAATTTCTTTTGTCGGCAACTACCGGTCCCGCTATGCCTGGTCAACCTTGAAGACTTGACGAGTCTTTTTAAAGTTTGCAATTTGCATATGGCATTTCTCCCGCGGCATTCATCAGCTTGGTAGGGACATTTCTCAGGACCGCCATCACGTCTTCTTTCATACGACATAGCCTATTGCACCCTACACTCCACGGTCACACGACAATCAGAGCCACAATGGTATCGGTATCGTCGGCTTTACCGCCCCCGATTGCGACCCAGATACTTCCAGTAGCTCTATCTGACATCGACTTCCCGCGGGACGCAGATATGCCCAACGTCCAACAGTCCTCAGTAACTTACACCAATCTCCACAAAGCTGCCGACATGATCAGAAATCATATCGCGCCTGTTGCATTTCCGACAGAAACAGTGTATGGACTCGGCGCATCAGCATTGTCGACTACAGCTGTCCGACAAATTTTTGCAGCGAAGAATCGACCGTTGGATAACCCGTTGATCGTGCACATTAGCTCTGTCTCGCAACTACGACGACTACTAGACACCAAAATACCTAACATTTATGAACCTCTTATTCAGAAATTTTGGCCGGGACCATTGACAATTATATTACCGCTCCCTGCTCCGATTAGAAATGAAGATGGCATCGAGACGCCAGCCATTAGTCCAGCCTGTACGCCAGGCCAAAACACATTTGGCGTGCGAATGCCGTCGCATCCGGTTGCGCGGGCATTGATTGCGATATCTGACACGCCAATTGCCGCGCCGTCTGCTAACGCGTCTTCGAGACCTAGTCCGACAACCGCGATGCACGTGTACACCGACATGGCTGGACGGATTCCGTTGATTTTGGATGGTGGGGCATGTAATGTTGGTCTTGAAAGCACGGTAGTTGACGGGACTGTCTCTCCTCCAGCCATATTGCGCCCAGGTGGTGTTAGTATTGAGGAAATTAGGAAGTACGGCGGGCCTTTGTGGATGGGTGTCATCACTGGAAAGAGCGACGCTGGACACGACGAGAAAGTTCGGACGCCGGGGATGAAGTATCGGCATTATTCTC